TGCCTCTATTAAGGGGAAATCTCGGTAAAAATCGCCAAGCATCTTAATTGTGTTTATCGGAAGCGCTCTCGGCCGATTTACGCCTCGCTGCTCGCATATTCGCATAAAGTGAATTATGTTTTCCAAGCGCATTACTCGCGGCTCCTGCGATATCGTTTCTGTTATTCCGTTATGATTATTATGCTCCCGTTAAAAAGGAGAAAAAAAAGCGGAAAGAACGACCCTCGAGAAATTATATATTCAGCGAATTTAATTATTTCCATTAAAATCGCAAGGATTGACCGATCTCTCGCGGTGTGTGCGATCAACGAAACGAAACGCGGGAAATAGGAACGCGATGCAACCGGCTCTGCCATCGATCCTGCATTTCGCTCCTGTGCGAGATACTGGTTATGTGTAAATTAAAAAAAAACGGAAGCAGTAAATTCAATCTCGTAAAAAAAAAAAAGCGCGCTTCGCACACATTTTATGCTACGACTACTTCAATTCGCAGGCCTATCCGTGTCGTCCAAGACTATCGCCGCGATTCGCCGGCGGGTTTCCACGACGCGTGTGCCCGAGTCGAAATTCCGATTCTACATCGACCCTGTAAATCCGTCAAATTTGAAGAGTTGATGAATATTATGCGATACGGTGCGAACTTCCCAGGAAGCCGCCCACACGTTGCGTACGCTTTTTGCCGGCTATGAACTACGAGTTCTACTTTAGAGGCGCGGCGCCACGTGATTAACGGTTATCATCATCAACACCATCATCATCATCGTCGTCGTCGTCGTCGTCGTTCGCACGCTCGCGACCTGCCGCGCGATTTTTGTGCCCCACAACTGCCACCCTCCCGTGGCATTTGCGTTTGGCGCGGCAAATTGAATATAATAATTACTCGGAACGTTCGTGAGTGCCTCCCGCGCGCGGCAGGTTTCGCGAAATTATCGATCGCGGCCGATGCGCACGTCGGACGGTGGTAATTAATTCGACGCTACGCGCGCCCGGCGATCGGACAGACGGACGGGCGCGCTTCTTCGAGCTCTTTCGAGGAACAGGTGGGTAACGTGGGAACGCCGCGTCGTGGAGGCGCGCTCGTTCGCGAGCCGCCGCGAACGATGTGTATCGGCGATGGGATTATTGATTGTTTCTGTAACGCGATGCGCAAACATCGCGAATGAGGAATTGCGGTAACGATTACGCGGGGGAAGGAGAGAAAGAGAGGAGTGTGCGTTCGTTCGAGGAGCGAGCCGAGCGAGTCACGTTCGCGTTGCCCGCAAGACTGTCTGGAGCGGATTCGCGTCGGCGAATGATAAATCGAGGCAGGCCAAGACACTCGGATGACTCACGCGCTTCGTTAGGCAAATAAAAAAATACAGTGTTAATATATCAATCGGGAAACGGGAAATCGGTATTCGAATTTCATTAATTTCGACTTTCGACACCAAGCCAAGAGAGAGAGAGAGAGTGAGAGAGTGAGAGAGAGGGGGGTAGGGGGAGAGAGAAAGAGATAGACGGACGAGTGATTTGTGGATTCAATCCGGTTGTCTAATGAGGCGAATCCCACAGCTCGACGCATGCCTCTCCGAAGACGTCGCCTTCAATTTCCCGGTGGGGCTTTTACGCTCGGGACGAGTTTACGTTGCACGGGTAATTCAGTCGGGGGACTTCCAATCGGTAGTACATACGCACGAGCGTTTCAAACGCTCGGGACAGCCGTTTAAATGTCCTGTGAAAGACGTTCAGTGAATAACCGGATTCTGATAATTTCCCCGATCGCGGGGAACGACGACGAGTGTTGTGTGACGAGGGAAGCGGCGAGATCTCGACTGCAAGTTACGTGTAATCTTCATATAATGATAACTGACCCCTCCTCTCTCCGCCTTTCTCTCTCTCTCTTTCTTCCTCGGCGGTGACGATATATTAATTATTATAATTATCGTTATCCCATCATCTCGTTGACAACCGATATAATCGCTCGATGACTCGAATTCCGCTGCTCGCACAAGGCAAGATGAATTCCCGCTTCAGTCCGAGGTATTTATAATCATCTTACGTGTGCAACATTCTCCCGAATGGCTATCAACGTATCATCCTCGTCATCGTCTAGCATATTGCAGAAGAAGACGAATCGGCGATGCAGACCGTTACGCGGTGATAATTATCGTTTAATCGTTCCGGGCGAGATGCAGACGTACACGCTGCACACATGTACACAGAGTTCTCTTCTTAATTCCTCCGTTTACCTTAATACGGAAATAATAGGATTGCATTACGAACGGTTTTGCGTGCCGCGTATGTTGCTTATCGCACGGTAAAAGCTACCTCGCTGAGAACGTGGCGGTTCTGAACGGAATATCAACTTCTTCGCCGATGATCGATTTTATCTTCTATTTTATTGATCAACAGTTTCTTTATTTCTTAGTGACTTCATATTTGAGTGCCTTGAGGAGATATTCTCTTTTGGGACAATTCGTTTGATAGACTTTTAGAATTCTCTCTCTCTCTCTCTCTCTCTCTAATTTTTATTCTACGTCGTGATAAAGACGACAGCCATAAGTTCACAGCTTCATAATTGTTTCATCGTTTTGACTTTAGAAACCTACAACGTTCGCAATCGTGACGACCATGCAAGTGAAATTTCCGCCCAACGCTGCACAAAATCATTTATAACTTTATTAATACTAAAAATAATGTGTAAAAACTGTGCAGAGTTAAAATATAGATAAAACACCCGCGCGGAACTTCAGAACTGTGCGCATCACAGTTTCTCCAGAAACATTTTGCAACACCTGTAAGATAACGTTTCAAATGAGAATACTTAACGCTGTTTCATACAGCGATTTTACCGGCCGATCTCGAGCTAACTATTTAATTTGACGAGACAATCTCCGCAAAGTCCCCGTGCGCAACAATATCGTCCTTTTCCTCCCTCTATCCGAAGACCGGGGACGTCGGCGACGAACGATTCAAGTTGCGCCGCGCGCGTCGTGATTCGCTATTTAATCCGGCGTGCGCAGCGCGCTTTGACCTGATGCAAGTAATTCTCCCGGACGACTCTCCGCCATCCAGCATGCGGCAAGCATTTCACTTTTTTCCCCAACGACCGCTTAGACCGTCAAGATGAAACGGCGACTGTCCGGCCTCGGCTCGGCTCGTAACGCAAGTAATATGCGCTTAAAACTCCCGACGATAACGTCTCGGAAAACTGCGGTCAGCCGATTCCCGCGACCCCGCGAAAATCGCGAGGGAGCGGGCACGATCAAACCGCCGCTGATAACGTCGCTCAACCCTGCGCGATAATTATTATACCGCCCGCAACATGTGACCGCGATGAGGGGCGGATAATTTCTATTGTCGCGAGAGAGAGAGAGAGAGAATAGCTCAACGAGTGCGCACGCAAGCGCATCCCGAGCGCACTCCGCGCGCAGGACGGCGAGTCCTCGCTGCTCGGTATGCGCGAGGCGCGTCCTGCGATTCTTAACGGACTTCTTAATCGTCGAGAGATGGGAGCGTCTCGAGATGAGATCGGACGGTCGAATCAAAACGCCCGGCGGATTAGCGGAGAGAGAGAGAGACCACGCGCGCGTTTCGGCTCTTGCGCTTGTCTAACAGTAACGAAACGGGCGGAATGGAATTCCGGGGAACAAGCGTGAATCCATGAATCTAATCGAGCAACCGCGTCGTCGTCCTTCGGCGCCGAAGCGCGCGCGGCTCCTGCGTGCGCGACGGCGCGATTACATCGCTCCATCCGGGAGGAGCATTTCGGACGTTCGACGGCAATGAGCGAGACGGATAGCCAGCGGTGGCTGCGAGCAAAGAGAAAACCGGAGGCCGCTGCGAAGTCCCGCGGGTAATTAGAAGATCCGCGCAGATGAGGATTGATACGGGCGGCTGCGGGGTCGCGAATACCGCGAGGCCGGCCGATTACACCGAAAAGGTCTGTAAACGGCGGAGGCAAGGAACTCATTCGAGGCTCACGGTGCGAGATGTACCGTGGCGAGGGCGCATCGGAAGCGAGCCGGCGACGAGCGGAGGAGCGAGACAGAGCGGGAGATGAGTCACATCCTAGGTCGCGCGCGGCGTGATTCGCGCGAAGGAGGAAGAGAATGTGGAAACGCCAAGGGCCTTTCATAGGCCATCTTATTACATCGGCCCTGTGCTGTGTGTAATGCGTTGCGATCCGTGTCAGTTCGGTTCCCATAAGAGCGAGCGGGTTCGCGACTGAACACGTGATACACCGCCGGTCGCTTCCTCGAGCGCGCCCTCCCGCCCGTCGGGAACTTCCGGGATCGCCGCAACGTTTCCTCTTCTCGTGTAACGAGCGTGTATGATCGACCTTGCCCGGTCTCGCAGCTTGAACTCCCACATGTCACTCGCTTTCGAATAACGTTGTCGCTGAGACAATCGGGGAAACGCTTCCTGATTGAAGAGAGCACTTGGAAGAGTCCGCCTGGGAACGCGAGCTCTTCCGGCGACACTTGCCAACGCGGCAATTTTGAGGATTCCGGCGTTTCGCGCAACCGTTGCTCTTACGCGTAAACTGATCATTTACTTTCTTAATTGAATCGGTGAAAATGTCGTTCACTGAATCGGCGAGACAGTATTATACCGATAATCTATAAACATTCGCCGAACTTTTCGTGAATACACGCTTCCACTTGGTTCGCCAATTTTCCTTTATCTTATGCTTCGCTGATTTTGGCCAGGGAAAAATTCACTGCAAATCGCTGTTACGCGTCCTGCAGCACAAATATATACGCATACACAGACGCTTTTTTATTGAGTAAAATCACTCGACTGATGTGATATAATTTTATCCTGATGCCTCCCACACCCTTAATTCCCAGTTGTATCTACGACTTAGATAAAAATAGTTCCGATGTTGATTTGAGAGTTCGAGAAAATAAGCAGATCGATTTGACCCGTGGAAAGTGAAAAATCGTTCGTAAGATAAATCACGGCTCTTAATGTTAATTACAATGTCTATATCGTGTTGCAGATACATCTCAGTGTGGATGCTGACGGTGGCGACGCTGAGGTGTCAGGTGAGTGTCTCTCGCGTTTGCCGCGAGGACGAGGATCTATCCGCGGACGATTTTGTTTCGTAGGCGACCGCCGGTCACGAGAACGCGGAAGTGGACGGCAACTCGGAGGATTCTGTTATCGACGATACGACCGAGGATTATTGGGCGGGCAGCGGATCGGGACCCGACGAGGATGAATCCCCTCATAACGAAACCAGAGAAGCGTTGACTCACGAGGCCAGCGACCACGATGCTGTAAGTCACGCATCGCCAATTTGTTTCGCATTGCGCGTTTACTTATTGAAATTCACGGTAGACGGTTGCACAAGAAGGTTTCGTCGGTTCTCGCGCCGTTATCCTTGCGCAGGCACGTCGTTGCCACCTTCCCGTTCGCACCGGGTTAATATCGATTAACTCGAATTCTCTTCGCGCGCGCGAGAGGAAAGAATCGCGACTACAAAACGCGCGACGCGCTCGGAAACGAACGGGCTTCGCATCACGATCGGGTTCGACACCGATCGGCGAACGTGGGATCCAGGGAATTTTTCGTACGGATTCCCCTGTAACTTTCGTCGAGCCAAATTCACGTCCACGTAGCGACGAGGAAAGTGAGAGGGCAAAAGAGTAGAGACACGCACGGCGTTCACGAAGTGGCGCGACCCGTCCAGTTACACGGCTAATTGGCGAACGGTTTCCTCGAAAGTGGACGGGAAGAAGGAACTAACGAGGGGAGGGGAAAAGAGGCGCAGGAATGATACTCGCCCATCTGTTCAGTTTTGCGTGATTCCTCGTTAACGAATGCTCACGGCGGCGGCGGTGAGGCGCGCAAGGCCGACCGCGCCGGAGAGAACGTAGATGCAGGTGTTCTCTGCATCCGCTACGATATTCGCGAGGCGTAAAAAGGCAGAAAAGGGAGGAAAAAGTAAGAAGCGGAACGTCGACAGTTAACCGCGGCAAAGACGACGCCTCGGGATCCGCCGAGCTCGGCCGCGCGTCCTCGATCGAGCGGAAAAATCCTACCGGCCCGCCGAAGATCTACGCGTAGCGCGCGGTCGAGCGTCTCTCTGCTTACCTCATCGCGACTCCGTTCTCGACTACAATGTTAAGTCCAGCCGGTCACAAGTCGCGATGAGGGATTCTGTGTGATTCGCGGTAGAAATCAATTTACCCGGATGGGGCGCATTCGCCTACTGCGGGGTTACGAGCGAGCAACAATCTGCCTTCTTCCCGCAGCACGTAGAAAATTCTGTTGGCCCTTCCTGAACGAAAGGGCGGGGTAGGATGCGCGGTGCATCGGTGCATCCTAGCTTGGTCAGGAAGTGGAATGGAAAGAGGAAGAGAGTGAGAGAAAGAAAGAGGGAGAGAGAGGCTATTTCTTTGATTAATCGCCGACTTATCGGCGATCCGACCGCCGGATCGGCTTCTAAGCTAGTTTCGAGCGGAATCGATTTCGATCGCGGAAGAACCAGTTCTTTCCAGCCCGGAATAGGGAGGAGAGAAAGAGTATCGCTCGCGCGCCACCGCCGCCGCGCGACCTTCGTTACATCGCAAATTGCGGGAGCGGATGGATCGCTTCTTGCGCTCGCGAGAGCGCGTCCGCCCCGAAAGATCCCATTACACTCTATAATTCCAGGAGCGGAGTTTGTTTGCCTTTGGCCGATTCGCACGCGAAACCGGGAAACGAGATCAATTTCATCCGCGCCGCTCCCTATCATCTGTGCGCGTTTCCGTTCGTTTCGATTAAGAAGGCAGAGACCGATAATATCGGCGCTGCGCGCCGCAGGGCGCAGAGTTGACGCGCGACGATCGACGATGGAACCGCCCAGGAAGCTATTTCGATACGAATCATCGGCCGGCGACGTTGACTGACTATTTCACGCGCGTCCAACGAATCGCCCGTCCCGAGCAGTTACATCGGATTATCAATCGTGCCCTCGATTTACATTCCCCGCGGAAATTAACCCCCTCGCGCGCCCGGCTGTCTTCTCCGGCTGGTTTGGACTGCTTCGTCATTCTGCCGACGCGTGTCGACTCGGTTGACGAGATAAAAAATCGCGCTAATTTTACCGAATTTATATATATTGAGTATTTCAGTGAGTGATTTCATCAAGTAACACAGAATTTCAACGAACCCTTTCCAACGCAGAATTTTCTTACCACGTCCGTACTGAATTTCGTTTCAAAGTTACGCCCGTGCAATGGTGTCAAATTTGATGAAAATTCGCGCACCACGGGTCGGGCGAAGTTCCGCGGAGCGCAAAGGGTCGGTGAGACGGATATCTCTTGGAACTCGACGATTGTCGGCCGTTAGTGAAGTACGAGGATGACGTTTTGCGACCGACCGAGCTTCCACCCTCTCTGACTCGGCGTCGTCGATCCCATCGTCGTCCCGAGAACTTGTGCAATCAACTCAATCGCGGCGGAGCTCTCTTAGAGATGAGATACTGGACGCATTCATCTGAGTCGTCCGAGCTATCTTACTTTGCTGATGACTTTCGACACTGTAACCGCGCGACCGTTAATCACGGCGATGAATGCGCGCGACTCGATCGAGAAGCGGCGAGGAGAGCGGCCCTCGGAAGAGATAAACATTCGCCCTGGAAAAGAAGGCCGGTCGCACCCGACGTCTGTAAGCGTCGTCGTCTTGTAGCGCGCAAGAAGACGCGAAAGCCTAAGCGGTTACTTAGTTCTTCTCCGTCGTCTTCTTCTTCTTCTTCTCCTGCGAGGGAAGGTGGGCCCGATATTGCGGATATTAACGATCATTAAGGAAGACGTTTTTCTTAAACGACGTCAAATCGCATTCACCGCTGCGCGCATGCATAATGCGCGCTAATAACGCGCTCCGGGGTTTTAGGTCAGACGTCTGGCAAAGTCGCGCCATTTTTCGCCAACGGAGTATTATTGTTACGGGACGTGCAATAAATCGGGCAAAAAGCTGCATTTACGTACCGTACCGTGTGTGCATACCCGCGGAGCTCGGACGCGTGGTGGATTCTAGGCTCGCGGAAGGAGGCTGCTTCTCGCGACGCCGCAAGAACTCCCTATTAAACGGTGCCGCGATCTTCGTTTGGCGCAGGTGCGAAGAGCCATCTACCTTTCTACGACGGCCACGCTTCGCGCGCATTTTCGCTGTATAGAAGCACTTACAATCCTGTGCCATAACCGATAAAACGCAAACTTTGCGGAGAACGTTCAAGTATGGCATCCCCTTAAACAGGCCGAAACGGCTTCCGGAGTCAATTCCGGGGAATCGATTAAAGGCAGATTCGTCAGAGCCGCTCGCGTCCCGGAAGGGAGATCCACGACATGACACGTGGTGGCGTAGGAGATCAGCCCTCGAAGAGAGCGCGAAACGTTCTCGTTCGCGTTTAGGATCTCTCCCCGATGAGAACGCGAGATCAACATGAAGGGGCATTTCGCGTTATTACATCTCCTACAGTGTAGCACGGTTAATGCCGTAGCCGCGGTTAAGCCACCACGGCCGAGAGTCCGCGAGAGAGGAGGAGGTAATCGGCACTTATCGTCCGCGTCAGCTCTACCTCCGTAATGCATTCCTACGAGATACCGAGGCGGATTCAAAGACCACCGCTCATTTCCCGCGGTGCCCAGGCCTCCGAGCGGGCCTCCCGGCTCGGTTCCTCGCCGAGAGAAGAACGATCTCCTAACTACTCTACTGGCCCATAAACGCCCGTCTCTTTCTCTCTCCCCCCGCCGATCTACGGAGCACCCGCGTCCGCGGTCTCCGCGGTCCGTCCTCCCGGGAGCATCGTACTCGAGCTCCTCTGAAATTCCTCAAAAGTGGAATCCGTGAAGAGAAATAATTTCCCCGGCGATTCGCGCGAGAGAGCTCTCGCTCGCTCATTCCGTCGAGCGAGCAACCTGTCGCGCGTCACAAACCGCGTTGCAAACCGGCAACCTCACGAGGCAAGAGGGAGAGAAAGAGAGTACGGACGACGAGGGGAAAAATGGGAAGGTGGAGGAGGTGGCCGGAACGGCGGTTTCTTTCTTCGTCACGGCATATGGAGGCTGTTCGCGGCTTTTTTCCGCGAGTCCGCGCGAGCCTTCGCGCTAACCACGCGCCCATCTTCTTCTTCTTCTTTGCACCACGACCGATTCGCCCGAGCAGAGAAGTGCCTATCTGCCGCGCTCGCGTCGTGCTCGCTGACAAGCGGCTCGACGTACAATCCCCTCGCCCACCCCCGTCACCTTCTCCTCCCCCCCGTCTATCTTGTTCGCTCTTCTTGCTCCTCTTCTTGCACGTGGCACCCGTACGCGAATGGAAGAGCCCGGGTACCCACGCTTGCCCGGGGAATGAGCTCGTAAAGCGTTAGTCACGCGCTACTCGTGCTGTCCGTTTTTCGCAGACTTCCTCGTTCGGCTTCTCTCCCTTTTCCGCCTCCCTGGATTCCCCAGCGCCGCCGCCTCCGACCACTGGCCACCGACGCCACCTCCCTCTTCCGCGTATATACTCCTCTTCGTCGCGGTCTCGACCCCCGGCGCTTTTTCTCGCCCTTTCTCACCGCTCGACCGGTAGCGATCCGGTACGGGTTGGGGGTTAAACCGGATCGTTAACGTAGGAGAGGTCAGGGCTCCCGGCTCGACGAGAGGATAGTTTTGCATAGCCGGATCGAGCGATGTACGCGAGAATATTTCGCGGGAATATAACCGCTTCCATCGGCGATGCGCGCGCGCGCACTCGGGCTAACGGCTTTGAACCCGCAAATCACTACCTGCGACTCGTTAGCGGATTCCTCGTGTTCATTTTCCGAGCTCCCGGAGTATGAATATCGTTAATAGCGCGTTTGGCGCGGGTGGTCGGTTATTAGCGCGAACGAGACCTTCGCTACCGCAGCTAAGCGAATATGCGCGACCGAGGAGCGTTCGGACTGTTTTTCCACTGGCGATGCCCGCTTGAAGTTTCACGGTATGATAATTATACGGCTCAGTTCCCGATCGATTATCAGTGTCTTTGCCGGTAATGCCCTCTCTCGCGTGCGAGCGAGAGAAGGAGAGAGAGAGAGAGAGAGAGACTAAGGTAGTTCTCAACAATCGAGTGGATACCGAGTGTTAATTACGTTTAATTAAAAGGTCTCTATGGGAATATATACGCAGTTTTCTCCAGGATATCAGGCTGAGTATTTGAATTTCCATCGGGACTCTCTCTCGCGAATCCTACACGGAAAAAAACGCTAAATTCAAGCAAATAACTACTTCGATACTCCTTACCAAATTTCTCCTGGATTAAGTGAATTTTACTTGGATCGAGTAAATATTATTACAATGTAGAAAAAAACGTTACATTCGAGCGATATTCACTCAAGGGGATATTCCCATTTGGAACGCTTCGTTTGGTCGGCGATTTTGATGGTNTTTTTTTTTTTTTTTTTTTTTTTTTGAAAAAACCGTCATGTACAATTCTGAAGTTTTGCGTAAGTACGTAGCTATGTTTTAACTATATATTTAACTACATATATTTAAAAAATGTCTGGAAATCACCTACGAAAAAGACGTTTCAAATAAAAATATCCCCGATCCAAGCAAAAATCCGCCAAGGAGCACTAGAGCAATAATTCTCTACTTAAATCCAGCGCTTTTTTTCTGTGTAGAAATCGCACAAGTCAAATACAGGAGATATCGATCGGTCATTCGCGAGCGGCTACAGCTTCACTTGATTCGACGAAAAAGAGAAAACGGGGCGTATGATGAACATTGACAACATTAAAGACGATTTTAATGAGCGTCGCATTCATTTTCTGCCCGTGAAGGTCGTGTACGTCGGCGAGGGTGGCACTTACGTGCCGGTACCGTCGTTGAAGAACCGGCCGTTGAGCCCGAATCTCCAGGCTCTCCAGACTCTGCAGGGTTTGCAAGGACTCGGGACAGGCGGAGGCACAGGGGTGGCCGGCGACGAGGACTGGAGGAGACATCCGGAGACTTGGGACCGCGAGCACCGGAGATACCGGCCCAACACGACGCGGGTGCAGCGTGAGTGCAAAGACGAACTTTCTTTCCTTCGCTTCACTTTCTCGCTTTTCCCGCCGAATGCCATTATCTCGTCGCGCACCGACGACCCAATGACACAATACCGGCCGATGCGGTCACTCTCGCCGTAAATGCGCCGCGCGAATGCAGCTGAAACTGCGCATACGATTCCCGGCGATTCATCTGCCGCGTGCACTTCGCAATAAAGCAAACTAAATAAATAAAATATAAATCACGCAGCGGGGGGGGAGAGGCATCGGGGAAATTGCCCGTTCACCGCCCAAGTATTAACAATCTTCGCCGAGCTAATAGAAATTTCCTGTTTCACGAGCGCCTTTAATGGTCCGGCACGCCGGATCGGGACGCTGATCCAGCGGAAACACACGTTGCGCGCAAAGGGCGGTTATCGATTACGTCGATCTAGAATCAACAGAAATCCCCGTGCGGCCGGGCGATCGATTATCGCTTCGATTCGCGATTACATTATCACGACGTTCCGCGATCGAGAGAGCTGGTGAGGAGAGATCCCGATCTCATGGGAAACGTCGGGAGGAGCTACGGGGGACGGCGGATTCTGCTATTTCACGTCCGAATCGCGGCGAAGGCGCAAAAACGCCCGCGTTATTTCAGTCCGGTGGGTCAGTGTGTCCCGCAGCTGTCCTCACAGCTTCGCTTTAGCACGTCCGTTATTTTTCCGCCCGTTGGTCGGCCGAAAGCGCGCGCGAGCGAGGATAGAGACGGGCGAAAAGCGTTACTCCGCTTTTCGGCGTCTCACTCTCTTTCCCTCCCGTTCGATCGACGGAGGGGAGAATCATCGTCGATCGACGCGAGCACGTTCCGCGATCTATACGTCCGTCCGTCTCCTCCTCGGTCCCTCGGCGCGCCCGGGAATTCAGAGTGCGATGGCGAGTGGCTACCGTTAGAGAGGAGGCAATTAAAACGGTGTCGGAAAGTCGTACGACGCTCCTGACATCGAGAGTACGCAAGCCACGAGAGAGAGAGAGAGAGAGAGGAGAGTACACCGTGCGCGTAGTTACGCCTCCGACGATGGCATCTCCTCTCCTCCCGTGCTCGTCGTCATCATCGTCCCGCCGTCTCCCGCGCGCCCGGGCACCATCGTCGTCATCATCATCGCCGATCCGCGCGATCGTCATTATCTATCCTCGCATCTGGATCGGCCCGGCTGATCGACCCCGACTCGATTCCAGACGGGAAACTCGGCCGTGTGTACGCCCGGCGTGCAGATATTTTGACGCCCGTACGTTATGGCGCCGGTAATCGGACGTCAGCTCGTTGCCGCAGTGCGCATCTCGCTTTTTCCCCAGAGAAAATTGCGCCGTCGCGTCGTTATGAAATGATGTTTATGAGCGGCCGTTGCGCCTGTCTTTTTTTTCCTTCCCTTCTCCTTCTTCTTCTTCTTTCTTCTCTTCGCCTCGTGTCGATTTCTCGTTCGCGATGACGTGACGCTATGCCGCGATGACGGCCGACTAAAATTTCTCGAACGATTCCTCGCGCTATCTCCGATACGGAGTTACTTGTTATCACATCGCGATTCTTTCGGCAGAAATTGCCTTTTTCCACGATCGATTTTGCGCACAGCAACCGGCTCGCGTGTGCGCCGCTGGAACTGCGAGCCGGATAATACGGATGGATTTATCGCGCGATCGCGAATCTGTGATTCCGCTAACAGGGATAATTACCGAAATTAACGTATCACGATGAATTTTCTATTTCGCTGATTGGAACACCCGGGGAATTTACGACGGCGCGGGCTTAATCAATGACGTCTCATTAGGGTCCGTTAATCAGCTGATGCTTCAGTTTTAATAAACCCATATAGCGGACCCGCGCACGCGGCCTGGTAATTAATGCCAGTGGAACAAGACATTAACGGCGGTGACGCGTCCCGTTATAAAAGTATAATAGACAATGTTCTGTGAAAACAAAATTGATCTCCTCCGGCGCACGATGTGCGTATGTATTACCCACATCCGCGAGAGCGATTTTTCCAGAGATAGATAGACATGTATATAGATAAATAGATAGACAAATGCTGTTATTTTTGCCCTATTTTCATTAAGTGCGTGATTTCATGGGAATCGCGTCTTTTGCGCCGAAAGAGACGTTCTTTCAAAGATCGCAACGCAAAAATTGAAGTTACCTGGATGTTAGAGCGCATAATTAACGTATAATTGAAATCTCGACTCGGATAGTCCCCCCCCCCCCGCTGAAAATTTTACTCTCCGGCGCAACGAATAGAGCGCAAAATATTTGTGTTTATTTTCAAAGAGCGCGTTTTTACTATTCACTTTGCATCAAGTGGAGAAGCTAACTAAGCAGACATTTATTCCAGAGTTACAACAGTGAGAACAAAAATAAAAAATACAAATAAGACACGATAAAAGAAATAAGTTGATGGTTTACCGCACGTCGAGCTGCTTACGAGAAAATTAGAGACAGAAAAAGGAGGAACTTGGAAGTTTATTACGACTTGTCTGGAATAATACTGTGGCGAATAATCGACGGCATTGGCGCGCTCGCGCGCTGCCCGCCCCGATATTGCCGCAGAAAATTACGCCGTGTCCGCGCGGCAATGCAAATAAACAATATTTATCGACGCGAGGGTCGCATACTATTATCGTGCGGCTCCCCCTTCGCGGGGCCCCGTTTAATTGCGCTTTACGGAAAATTACGACCGTATATTGGAAACGGCGACGCGCGAAAAATGTCTTAACGACGCATCGCGCGTTCCCTCCGGCCGTTCGACTGGAACGAGCTGCTATTAAACTATTTTTCGCGCTTTTTGCCTCCCACAATTAATCGTCCCATAGTTCTCCTCTTTTTCTTTTCTTTCCTGCGAATCGTTATACGCGGCAATTTGCCTCGCTAATACACATTGTCCGCCGGACGAAGACGCGATCCCCTATTCGTGAACTCGGCCGTGGAATTAATAAATTTAAATCATAAAATTGTAATTTCGCACTTCTCCGCGTTACATTATGCAAGTTTCGCGCGGCGCGTATCACACGCTTCGCTTTCCCCTTATCGCTAGGTTTTGTTGTTCACCTCCCGGGGAAAGAATCGAAGCGCGCAAGCGATTAACATAAATCTCCACCGCGCACTCCGTACTTTATTCTGATAAATCGGTTCGGCGGGCGTGTTGCCGCGAGAAAAATCGAGACCGAGCGGTGCGCGAGCGTGCCGGAGCCGCTTTTCGAAAAGATGAATCGATCCGTGACCACCGAGCCGACGGGACGATCGATGGTCGCGTCGCTACGGTAAATTTCCTAAAACATTCAGACGAGCTCGTCCGTCGGCAATGATGAATGTTACACGGCCGCCGTATGGAGCTCGCCGGTTCAATGAAGTCGTAAAATCGAGCCGCTCGTTTCTCCGCGGGAACTTGCGGCCACCCGTGGTATCGTCAATTACGCGAAAGAGGGCCCATTAGGTTTAATGCATCTTCCTCGGCAAGGCTCGATTCTCGTGCGTCCTCGAGACTCGAAGTCCATTTTCTCGCCGCTGCCGTGTGTTGCAGCTACTCTATCTCTTCCCGACTTCACCCGCACGCGCGTTTTCCGTCGCACACGCGAAATTGCGAGCCTTCCCTCCCGTCCGGCGCTTCCGGTTGCTTCGATAAGTGAATCGGACTTTAGCAGTCAAATTTAGAATTCAATTGCCGCTGGGAGAAATTTAACGGTGAAAATCAAGAACGTTGTAATCAAGAGCGTATTCGTGAATCTGCGTATACGTGAACAGGAAACGCGCACGGTGAAGAATTTCGCGTTCGATCGAACACACTTCACGTGTCTCAAATAGTCCGCTCGAACTGTTGTGTTAATTTTACATATTGACGGCAATACGGCATCTTCTGACGTCTCCCGACGTCATTCCGCCATCTGGGTGTTATGTCGGAAATTAACACAAAATTAATACGTTAATCGACACTGAAGTGTAAAATGTGTTATTTTAACACACGTTGAACATCCACATAATACAAAATATTCAGATAACATAAACATAATATATTAAATCAACCTATGCAGATATGTTAAAAATTTAACAAGGACCGATTTTAACGCAAATACAACAATGTTTTTTTTATCTCTATGTATCGGTGCCGGAATATCCCGCGTGTGGGATGCCGAGAGTATGCATGTGTGTGTGTGTGTGTGTGTGTGGACTTGAAGGACTTGGAAAAAATCACGCAGCTCTTTATGGCACGAGCCGTAACGCGGTTCTCGCAAGGAACTCGACGGTACTCCGTCGCGTCTCTCTCTCTCTCTCTCTCGTGGCCGACGCTCTCGGCACGTTCGAGCTAATATCGGCGTTGCTCAACTCTTTCCATTGTCTGCCCACTGACGTTTTGCCGGACGATGAACACAAAGCACGTATCCGCAATTCTAATAAGCGTGCGTATACGTACGTACGCACGTACATACGCCTCGCGTTGCACCGCTCGAAAATGCGCTCGGCACATACTCGCGCCGCGAGACGGACACGCGCGAGCGCGATGGCGCGGGGCGTACGACGAGGGTGAAACGGAACGGTTGTATCATCGGCATGCGCCTCCGGTGTGACTATCTCCATCCCCCCATCTGCATCTCCATTTTATTATTTTTCCGTGGATCTCCGTTTTCGCGCGCGCGCGCTACTCTTCCTCACCTCGACTCACATTCCTACTTACATTCCTACTTATTTCGAATTCTAATCGATTTTGTTCGCTTTCCGTCGAAAAATGGGAAAAGAGGAGGAGACAAACTGAATAAAATCGGGAAAATTTTAACCAAACGAAAAAAAAAATGTAACAAGCTTATTAGGAGTCCGAGTAAAAAAAAATATTTCACACTACGTCTCGCAAATTTTCGACGACGCAATGACCGCGCGGCGACTACGAAGATTTCGCTTTTCCTTCCTCTTCGTCGAGATGAGATTAAAAGGGGGGAGGGGGAAAAAAGTCGAAACGTCGAGATCGACTCGTCGGTCGAGTGTCGGAGGACATCGCGCGTTCTAACAAACAGCGACGGAGCGCGCGGGTCACGGAAACGAAAAGGTTGTATCATCGGCGGACACCTCGAGTGTAACTATCTTCATCCACCATCAATCTCCATTCCGCTTTGCGGCCGCGGCGTGTTACGTTGTTACGTTGTGGAAACGGCTTCTTCTTACTACGAAGAGCGCTTATACGGGACCCCCAACTTACTTTCACTTTCATTCGTCATCGACGACCGGTTTTCCACTCGCGCTCCTCTATCCGCGAATCTGCGATTTTCCGCACCGCTTTCGACACGTGAGTGTAACGACAGGATCTCGCGGCCGCGATTGCACGCCCACACGACGATCGATCGGCGGCGCCGGCGGATCGATGAGTCCGACGTCGTTTCTCAGTCACGGCAATCATCGTACCCGATACGGTAACGTTATCTTAAGACCGGTCTCTTGTACGAGAACATTTTTTTTACGACCGAACCGGAGAATCGCGGAGGATTGCGTAGGATTCAGTCTCAGCTACGAAACTCAGCTCGCCGATGACGATGATCCTTATCAGTCGCGATGGCACGTTTGACATGTTATTACGCTAAAGCGTGATTTGAATTAAGATAAAAGTACCAGTACTTGGACACGTGCCTATAATATACAATATATTGTGAATCTACAGGGTGTCCCGACATAAGGGGAAATATCTTAGGGATCTAAATATGGGGGGACCTTGAAAAGAATCGAAGAAAATGATCGTAAAAAAATTTCCTCCACGGAATGACTCCTTCGAAGCCATTTAAATTGTGTTCTAAACGTCTCTCATATTTCTCCATATTATTAAAAACAAAGGAGGTGCTGGGTGAACGCCTAAATATCTCTTTTGTTTATAATAATATGGACATAGATTCTACGTTCAAAATGTAAATATTCACATTCAAAGAGCAAAACAATGAGAATGTCCAGAGGTTAAATACGTGTCCAGGCACTGGTGCTTTTACCTTGTTCGGTCGCACTCGACGCGTGTAATTGTAACGGTCCGTGTTCTTTTTTTCTTCCCCGTCATTGTTACGCCGGTCTCGAGAGTCGATTCTCGGCGGATGTTGATCGGTACCAGCAGATTAAGGCGTCGCTTTTCCGCCAGCTGGTCTATCCGGACACGCCGGCTTTTTCATCTCGCTTTCGACATCGCAGACTCCACCTAGACCTTCTCGGTTTCGCAAATATATGCAACACACAAGACGTTGATCGCACAGATGGATCAACAATGTGGCTGATGTAGGTCCCCCGCGGATAGACCCGGCCGATAGCTTGTCGAAACGCCGGTGAACAGAGCGACGCGCCGAGAGATGTGCTTTACCGCCGTCGCCGTAAAGCTCGGCGGACCGAGAGAAATCGCGGGATTACGCATGCATGAGTGCGGACAAAATTCCCCCTTCTTATTTTTCCGCCACGTGCGATAAATCGCATGTGAAAAACCGTTTCACCGTGCGACCGCGCGAACTGGTACACGTTTCTTTGGAAACGCCGACATCCTCTCGTGTAATCGCATAATTTATATGTAATTATTACATGTTTGTAATATATCTTACATCGTATTCATAGATGCGCGTATATACATTTTACAGATATCGAAGCGGAATGCCAAGACGACTATATGAAAATCAGGATTGGATTCAACGGATCTTTCACCGGTCTCTTGTATTCGGCAGGTAAGATCGACCGTGCGGTTTGAGTAGCCGGAAATACCCCCCGACGACATAATTATTATCGACACTTATGATTGGATTGACATCACAAGCGACAATGAAACAACCTCTTTTAAGTGTGCCGCATCGCGAAGTGAGTGAACGTTGCGAATAACGCGGTCATCGAAAAAGCGACAACGGTGACTTGAGGAAGCCTCGCCCTCGCCGGGTTCCTCTATTACGGTGAACAGATTCGACATAATGCCGCGATTGAAATATGTGGCTGCATAACCGACCGCGATCTCGTTGGCATCTGCAATTACCGCGGCAGACAGTGAGACGATGAATCCGCGCTAACGAGGTAATGGCGGAAATTATCGTAAAGCGATCGGCCGTCGTCGGCCGCGCCGGAATTTTTCCATCGACGTCGTAAAGTCCATCTGTCCGTTCTAGTAAGATACCTCCGTTATTTCGAAAGAACCGCGCGGTAGACCTGCTCTCCTCCTTCTCCTGGTAACGCACGCAATGCAAAGACAAAAACCGCGAAACGTTTTGCTCAATGGAGAAGAAGGAGAAGAGGGACGTGGAGGAAAAGAAAAAAAGAGATTTCCTCGAATCTCACCCCGTTCGCTCGACACTGATTTTGACGGAAATTGTTACTGGCATAGAAGCAATTTAATTATCCAAAATAGTAAGAAAACTGAGTTTCGCCCTTGGAAAAGTCAAAAATAGTATAATAAATCTTCGATTAATTCGAACATGAAAATGAAGTGTTTCTAAACAAGTGAGAAAAACAAATGAGTCGCTTCCGTTCCAGTCGCCTGTTATTATTATTGAAATTATAATCAGAATTTGAAATAATAAAATCAAATTCTAACGCGCGTGGTCTTCCTTAATCATCGATAACAATCTCGCGATTGACAGGCAACTTCCCGATATCGTTTTCATTATTGTTCCCTTTTAATATAACAATTTTCATCTCTTTTTATCGCGTAATCAAAGGTTTTCTCTCGTTAACAAATACGCATTGCTGTTAATTAATACCTCGATAACAAGCAGTATATTTTTTGACTCATTCAGGAAGACAATCATGTGCGAGACACTCGAACCGATAAGTCTCACGGTACGATTAAAAAATCCGATCAACCTGATCCCGGACTTCCTATCATCGGCGTTAACGAGCGCTCGTCGCATTTTCTCACTTACGCTTCGTCGTCCGTTCGCACATTCGTTTACAAAGCAATCGACGTCGACGTGGTTCCGCCTGTCGCGGATGAAACTTAATCACGCGGTGAACAGCGTTGATCGATATGCCACGATATCCTGCGCGCCTCGCCGTCGGCCGAATATCCTGGCACGGTCAAGGACAATCGCTTTTAATTGCAGGCTACTCGTACGACCCCGACTGTATGTACGTGAACGGGACTGGCCGCGACTACTACGAATTCTACATTCAGCTAAATCGATGCGGCACCCTCGGCGAGAACACCCATCATCAGGACAGTAGGAAGAATCCGACGGTAAGTGAAACGTAAAAAAACGTAGAAAAACGTAAAATAACTATACAAAAGCAAAGTATCGATCTCGCAAGCTAGTATCGATCTTGGGGCGAAAGTATAATTGAAATAGTTGAAAAATATCCGCACTAGTTTCGGACGTCTAGAAACATAAAAAGTATAAAAATCGTAAGTAGCTAATCGCGACGTTTGCGTAGCACCGGCATCAATCGTCGACGACGACGACGACGACGAATTACAATAATTAACAACTCGGACGAAAACGGTCTTTGAGAACAAGACTGGCGGGCGTGCGGGGTGAGGGGTGGTTCGCTCCTAATCTCGATAATCAGAGAAAATTAGATGTGTCGCACACACGTTGGGTGGGTGGAGGCGGGGGGATGGACAAGAGAATTCCGCGCGGGAATGTAAAGGAGACCGTTATTATAATAGCTAACGCGCGCGCACGACGGGTTTTCCTCACGTGAGAAATAACGTGCATGTTATTACACTGTGCAATGTGCGTTTGCACCGGCGTTTTACAGAAGAACCTTATGTGGAACACGGTCACGGTGCAGTACAACCCGCTGATCGAGGAGGAGTTCGACGAGCACTTCAAGGTGACGTGCGAGTACGGCTACGACTTTTGGAAGACGGTGACATTTCCATTTCTCGACGTCGAGTGAGTGTCTTCGGCTATGCATCTCGGTTAGCCCCGTCATCGCGAGTTAAAGAGACCCCCTTCTAATCCTCCATGCATCCTCCGACTCCGTTGAACTCAATTTTAGTTTTCGATTTTTTTTCCCTTCTCCTTAATCGAATTTAATATTTTCAAGAATAATTAAAAGAAAACTGCCCTTTTCAATTTTCCCTCGGACAGAAACCGAAAAGATCCGTGGAAAAATGGAAAGGAACATCGGATTTTCCCAAGCCTCTGAAACTATATTTTAATATCTAATATTAGTACAATTTTAATATCCAATTTAGTTCTTCGTAAAGATGGATATATTCCGTAATTGTTATTCTCTCCCGAAGGATTACCGAGGAACAAGTGTTGAGTATTATGTCCTTTTTAATCGAACAAATCGATTCGTCGATTGAATTAATACCGAGGATCAATATGAATTTTTCCGGGCGTGTGCGCATCTCTCTCTCTCCGCGAGGATTATATTTCAGCGCACAGAGAACGCCACGTTGCCGACGATGGTGATGCGCTCGGCGGGGAGGGATCAATCAACAAGTTCGAAATAAATTATCGATCGGTCGGCGGTGCTCGTGAGGGGGAAAAGACTCCGGTAAAAAAGGCCGAGCTTTATTCGTGCCTTGCGAGGGGGAATCGTCCGAGAGGTCAGACCGCGCCAGCCTCGGAGTCGACGTTCATGGCTACGGCCGCGTAATCGTTTCCACTCGCGAGAGCACGAGCGCGAGCACGAAGAATGACATTATGATCGTGTAAAACCTCCGATTACGCGAAATCGATGGAACGTTTCGCGCGAGGCCGCCTGTTTATGTAATATCCACGATAATGTCTAACATCTGCGCGCCATCGGACTGCCGCGAAGTAGGCCGTGCTGCTCTCTCGCGTGCGCGCGCGAGAGATAACGGATACGCATTCTTCCTGCCTCTTACGCACCCACCTTCTTCTTCTTCCAGGGTCGCCACGGGAAATCCCGTAGTCTTCACCCTACAGCCTCCGGAGTGCTACATGGAAATCAGATACGGTTACGGGACCACTGGAACTAGAGTGGCCGGACCAGTTCGCGTCGGCGATCCTCTGACTCTCATTATCTACATGCGCAGCAAATACGGTAAGCTTCCACGCTAACGCGAAGCGTGACCGCGGCTCGCTTCGCGTAAATCGCCCGAGGATGGAAGGAGAGCGTCGTCGGGCCTCAATGGACCGTGCGATCTATTAACATAAGTAGGCGCCGATGCGCGAACTCGTTTTTCCAAACGAGATTAACACGGCCTCGCGAGAACGTAACGCGAGAGATATCAAACGGCCGAGAACGACAAACCGGTCGACTCGATTGATTAGCTGAAACTCGTCTCGAGTTTAATCGGTACCGAAGTTAATTGCGTAGATCTGTAATTTTTGTCTTTTTCTTTTACTTACTTATGTATCGTAAAAAATTTTAAACGACTTGTCTCAATGACTGACGCGTCGTCACGTTCGATAAGACGCCGACTTTCATTGGTCGCAAATTAGAATCGATTTAATTTATTTTCCGACCAGCGGACGATTTTTTTCATTCCTTACTTGAAACTCGTATCGTTTCAAGACTTTGCTCGATGCTGTAATTAATAAGCTGACGGGGAGAACAGATTTTGCTGGAACAGCAAATTGTTCGCGAATACAGTGATTGCAAGAAGAATTTTTTCGAGCAGCAAAAACATTTGGAGAGCAGAAAGATTTGTTAAGAGTATTAATCGCTATTTGTTGGATATAAGGACAGCAAAATAATTTGGTTATGTCAACGAAATTTTATTGCTGTCGCAGCGACGTTTTGCTGCACCAATAAAATTCTCTTCCCCGTGTAACACATTTTTTTGCCATCACTGCACTAACAAACAACTCCCGCTGCTCCAGGAAAACCTGTCCTCTCCTGTGCACGTTTTTATTATCGTACTTGACGATTTTAGTATCGTCGTGCTTGCACAGGCGTGAGAGCATCGAAAACAAATAGTCCATATTATCGAGAGACCGACGGCGATCGCGTGCAAATCACGTGCAACGCGCATCCTTCGTTTCGCGTATCTCCTTCTTGCCGGCCGCCCGGTCTATCTAATCATACGACGCCCGATTCCGCCAACGTATCATTCGACATCGTAACGGTATAAGATGAGGCAGAAGACTTTGTCAGTCGGCTGCAAGTCGAGCTCGGTAATTTGCGAAAGATGCGGAAACGTTGGACAGAGAAAGATGTATAGAAAAGGAGGGAGGAGGGTACGAAAACGCGCTTAGCTACGACGTAACGACAGATGTCCGCGCTCTAATGAGCGTCTAACAGCCTTCTGTATTTGCGTCCTCGTCAATTATGTCAGGTAAATTGACGAGATAGAGAAGGAGAGACAGATAGAAAGAGAGAGAGAGAGAGAGAGAAGCTAAACGCCTCGCGTAGTTTGCTCGTTCGTCCGCCGTATTTGATTGATCGGCCTTATTATCAATAACGTTTCGTCGCTTCTCACTCCGTTGCGATAAATCTCGCCCGCGAAAACGGCTCTCTGAGAGCGGACGCGCGCGCGCGTTACCGTCGACGCGTCCGGCAGCCTGATCTCCGCCTCTTTTGCTTTTGCATTGCAGACGGTTTCGACATCGTCGTGAACGACTGTTACGCCCATAACGGCGGCAACAAGAGGATCCAGCTGATCGATCAGTACGGATGTCCGGTCGACGACAAACTGATCAGCCGGTTTCGCGGCTCCTGGTCGGAGAGCGGCCTCTTCGAGACTCAGGTGTTCGCTTACATGAAGACCTTCAGGTTCACGGGCTCGCCGGCTCTGTACATCGAGTGCGACGTCCGCATGTGCCACGGGAGATGTCCGGTAATGAAACACCCTCCGCTTCAGCATGTCTCACTCGACCGATTTGAATTTGTCTGTTCGCTCTAATCCACTCGGATATCGCCCCGATTGAGTTTAATCGAGCGCGCACTGCGATTGTCCGAAGCGCTTCTGTTATACGGAGTATTCCCGCTTCCACCGCATCACTCAGCAGTGCAGCACATTTTCTGAATAATTCAGAGACAATCTGAAAGAAACCATTGCTTCTCCGCGAATGTCCAGCGTTTGATATTCCGTTTCTTCGCGACTGAATCTCCAGCCGAAGTCTCGAAATCGAAATTGATCGGGGAAAATCAGTCGTTGCAAGAGAAATCGCGCCGGGAATGGGACACCTCGCGAATGTGATTCTTTCCGATTTTCGCGACGAGGTCGGCCGACTTCTCAAACGGCGGTTCTACGGAATCGAGATAGCGGTAGATCCTATTCTCAGGGTGATATTTTTGCATATTAGCACGCTCCGATGAGCATATCTCTGTTCTCTGTTACCGCTGGGGAACACGACGTTCCAGTTTCGCCGACAGCACTCTCGGCGCATATGAACGCGCATCGCTCGTATTTCAGAGCCAACCCTGCCACTGGAGAAACGCGAAGAACGTGGCGAAGCGATCGGTGCCGGAAATGATCGGCGGACCGTCGACGCCGGCAACCAGTTTGTCGGAGAACGTGAATCTCTTCCAGTCTCTGCGCGTTCTTCAGGAAGGCGAGGCGGACACGGAACTGTTCCAGAATTCCACCAGCTCCTCGCGCGCCGGTAAGAGCGGATATTTATGTCAAAGATTCTGACTTTACTGTTAGAACAATTATGTCAAGCCGTACATTTATCGTACAGCTTCATTCAGCGAGGCTGCTCCACTTTTGCCGATCGCGCGAACGTCGCGCTCTAACAGCACGACCGAGCGAGAGCCGAAATGAATCGCAAGCTCGCGAGTACGGAATTTTTATGACTCGCGTAATAGACCCTCTGTTGTGTCTGGTCGTCATGATTGTTTTACTATATTGCTTCCGGTATTTTATATCTTGCAATTTCTTCTCATACTTTTCGTACACTACAATGATTTCTTTTTTCTTTTCACATTTAATAATCTTGTTCGCTTGTTTTCCTTTCTTTCTACACCATTTGCGCGAAATTACTTTACTTCCCACTAGCAACAACCATAAGCAATAAACAATTGAATAAAAAAATAAATTAAGAAATCATCCGACGGAAAGGGCGGAAAAGCGGCGTAATTTTTCTATCATGTCGACAAACAACAAGAATCGACGATCGTTAGCAACTATTTCTTTCATTTTTAACGTAGCCAAGTTTTCGCAATATTTTCACGCAGCACAACAATCGCCGTCGCGATCGCACTTTTCTCGCCGGACAGATATCTGTAATCGTCCTGTTTCTCTCATTTGGCTTTCCCTCCGCAGGACTCAGCGAACCGACGACCGATCGAGTGTGCCTGAGATCGTCCGTCGCCAGTACGATAGTGGGCCTCGGCTGCGGCTTCTTCTGCATCATGGCCGGCACGATACTGGCGATGTGCTCGCGAATGCGGCGGCAGGCGCGCGAGAAGTTACTGTCGGACAGCATAAGTTACATGACGCACAAGGGTCGGATTAATTAGGCCGCGGAGGCCCCCGTCTATCTCTCCAGCTATCTGCATCTCTCTCCTTTCTCCTCGTCACACCACGTCTTCGCAATCATCTCTCTTTCTCACGAGCGAGCAACTCCGCGGATAAGACACGAGAGAGCGCGTCGTTGGGACGGAATAAGCTCGACGCGATCCTCTCGTCCGTCGTTAAGCCGATATCAGTGGCCGATAAAGACGCGACTCGGCGGATCTTCAAGTGCGGGGAATATCGTGAAATTCGGATAAAATTGCGGGAAAGTCTTTCTGAACGCATCGCTTCACACCGGTCGCGGTCGGAGATCGACGCGCGCAATGTGCGAAGTTGCCTTACACCGTTTCGACCGTCGTTGATAATTCAGGCCCGCGCGGATAACGAAGTGAATCCCGCGGATTCCTCCTCATCCTCTCGTGTGCGCGCGCGCAAATGCTTTTTTTTATGTTATAAATAATATTCGCTCCGCTATATTCACTCAGCCTCGCTTCTCTTACTCGCCGTAACGTCGATCGACACATCCCCGCTCGTCACTAACGATGTGTGCATGTCGCGTCGCGACGAGTGCGACGTGTCCCTTCTTCGTAGCGTCTTATCGCTCATCGATAAGTAGAGGTAGAAATCGCCGATATTGCCACGATCTCGCTGCCGATTGCGCGCGACCGACGAAATAATAAGCCCGCGAGAACACTGTTTCTTCAATTGGAACTCATCGAATTGAAGAGTGCTCCGCGACTCTTTCGCCGACGACTGTACACCGACGGACGACGCGGTGTTCCCCCTTCTCCCCCTTCCTCTTTCCGATAATCGCTTATTTCGGTCCCGCAAGCGGCACGTCCGGAGATCAAAACGAGCGCAACCGTCAGTGACGGCGCTTAATCGCCGCTGATGAGATTCAGTACTTATATGTGTATCTCTCTCTACGGCATTACTCGCCACGTTCAGGAACGTGGGAATAAAATTGCGCCAGTCTCGCCAACGGCTCGATTGTTCGGCAATACTTGGAACGATCGGGGTGAAGATGGAGATGGTTAATTTGCTAGTTAGCGGTGCACAGGCGAACGAAGATTTCGGATGAAAACGTGCGGCTCGAACACACGGCCAAGGATTTGCGGCGAAATTTGTCAAACGAAGATTGATATTTTGGGATAACGATGTGTTCGCAAGGAGAATCTCTGGGAAATCAAACGAGGCGGGAATCCCTTTAGATCGTAATCGAATACTTACTCAGCGATCCATAGCGACCCTAGCGAGGAAGAATGAAAATTATATCGCCCGATGAATTAGCGGCCCGGGTCACCGTTCCTGAATGTTCGCGCGAATGATGCGTTAAGGTTTAATCGAATATCATTATATAACAAACGGATATACACCGTAGGTTTATACTTATACATATATACATACATACGACATGCGTAGAGTCGACAGAACGGGCCCTGGTCCGAGCAGTGGAGAAATGAAACGAGAAGAATAACCGGAAAAATCACACGAAACCGCATCGGGCGAGTACAGCCAGCGAGGATTAAATAATATTTTACTAGACCACCCCGTGTATATGAGTGGGGCGAGCCAAAGAGTCGTAGCTCAGTTTGTACTCGTCGTAATATTTATTCAGGATCTCGCCGACCTCGCGCGCGATCTTTCGCCACCATTGTGAAATATTAATTTCCCCTCCTGGTTGTTCCCCTGCACACACCCCAACACGCACACATACACGTACACGTTACGCATATACGTTCGTATTTACATTTAATATTGTAGCAACTCCGTTTTCACATTGCTCCACACTGATCCCGAAACCCCCGTGCCTTTCCCTTCCGTCCCTCTCGAGTGACAAGCCAAGTGTCAGGATTCACAATTGCTCGATTAATTATGTGTAAATATAGTGTTGTAACATGACGCATGATATTTATGACTAAGCTCGAGTGTGTCAAGGTTTCTAATAAATAATAGAAGAAGATTGTGTTCTGATATCGTGTTCTATCCTTCGAAGCCTGTCCTTGTTCAATTTTTCGCTATGACATGATCCATCGTTACGTCGTCGTTTTTTATTTAATCCGATATGCCATAGGCTGCGTTTCGATGTTCACTGGCAGTACCGAAAATTTATAATATACGTATCGAAACCTGAACTATCAATTTTCAGTACTGGCAGTGAACATCAGAGCCTTAGAAAAGCCACAACAGCGTCGTGAACTCAGTATGCCTAAAAAGCAAAAGCCTCAAGCTGCAAAGCGCTTCCTAAATCACCCCGTTATCGTTATTTTTACCGAAGTTACGGCTCGCTGAAATCTAAGTTGTAAAATTTGAAAATAAAAAGACACCTGTGTAGTACTTAAATCTCCTTACTCCCTACTTAAATCGTGCTACTTGAAGATAAAAAGTATTTCTTACCTGTCGCTGAGTCGTATTACATGCTTAATTTTTCATTAAAAACACCGACGACTCATAACAGGGGCTTTGCAATTAAATTATGGAATATTAACGATTTGCCAAACTCGGTGGAAGTTGGCTAATGGACTTCCTATCGCCATCTAACGATGTCTTAATTAACCTGTTCGCCTGTTTGTAAAATTGAGGTTTGAGTCTCGGAGGTCGGTAAAAAAGGTTCGAGTCTCAGCTAAGTGGTTTTCGTTAATTCCATAGTCTCCGCTATGAGCCGCCACCGCCCTATTAAAGAACGAAGTCGTGATACGACTCAACGACAAGTCGGTCGCACTTTCTACTATCAAGTAGCAAGTACTTGGCAAGTACTTAGTCAAGTAAACTATTATTTCAAACTTATATAAAATTCAATGAGCTATAACTTTGGTAGAAACAACAATAATGGAATGGTTCGAAAAGCATTTTGCAGTTTGAAGTGTCTACTTTTCATTCATATTATGATCTTAACGTTGATGTGGCTCTCCGCTAAGATATATTGAATTAAATATAAAATAGAAGTTATTCAATTTTCACTCACATTTTCAGATGAATTTCCAAATTAAGAAATTATTTACGTTCAAAATGTGTTAAATGGATCTTAAAGAGCAGATTTTTTTAAACTTTCTACTCATTTGTTGATAAACATTGTACCCTGATTGGTTTACCTTTTGTGAGCGATCAAAGAAGAAAATACGCCCTTTGCTTTAATACTAAATAATTCAGTAAAAAAAAATCACAACTCAACTGGCAGACACACAAATTAAAAGGGAAAGTCTACACTTTTAAACGACATAAATCATTCACGAGAAATCGAAGAAAAATACTTATTGAATTGTCGCGTATAATATATTACCTAATTGAAGGTTAAGAAATCCTCTGTTAAGATCCTTTAATTTAGATCCTCCGTGAGTGTATAACGCGTTATTAAATTTACTAATTCGCGTCGTTCAATTTATATTTTTGCATCGCTAAAGACCCACATCCCTCTCATTTCGAGTCAAATCCACGAATCCATCATCTTTCAAGTTATTCCCAAGATGCGCGCTTACCGACACCGAAAATCTAGAAGCCGTCGCGACGCAGGCGAAAATCTACCTGGCCGATCTCGAGAAATTGTCGGTGGCACAAAGCGCGGACGAAATGAGACGAGTTGTGTTCCTCAGATAGCGCATTCGTCTTGCGAGACGGATCCGCCCGGCGTCGGTCGGATGCTGTTCGATCGCCGGAGATGAGGAGCCCACGGTGAAAAGTGAAAATTCCACGCTATATCTCATCCGCAAAACGAGACGCGACCGTCATTTATCGTACGATCCCTACGATAACGCGAGAGAGAGAGAGAGAGAGAGAGAAAAAAAAAAGCACGCGACAATCGACGAACGACCGGTTCTTAATTCGCCGTCTGGCGCAACGAAGAGACGAGAGAGTTCGTGAAGAGCTTCCGCTTTAATTATTTGCAGCAGATGGCGCGATGGATGATGAATGTGCCTATAGACGGGCGAATTTAGGGCACTCGTTGCATAAAATCGTATAAAGACTCGCGCGCTACATTTTATCGGTCGATGAAACGTCGACTGAGCAAGACCGATCACTTAAAGATGCGGGGACGCATATTCATCACGGTGCAGTGCGGCGGAACGATTCCCGCGATACTTTCGGAATTTTCAGATCCGACCGGCGACGGTGCGTGAACGTTGAGGGGATCTCTCGAGGTCTCTCGCGATTCTTTCCGAAAAAGAGGCGGTCGTCCCGATTGGACCTTATTGCGCAGCGAAAGGGCAATCAGCCGCAACAGCAAACTGTCTCGCCCGCCTACCATGCGGTAATTAATCAAGCCGCAATAAATTAATTGCCGCTCCGGCAAGAATTAATTGCCATCCCGGCAATAATTATGGCTAACGCAGAAATAATTATCGTGCGGCCCCGGCAACCCGTTGATCCTCGGCCGACGATAATCCGCTCGTAATTCGATACATACGTATATCTCGGTCGATCGTCCTCCCCCCCCTCCCTCCCCCGTGCACTCGCACCCGCCCTTGTTAAAAGAATCCGATTTAATTTCGAATACGAAATAATCCTCGATCGACGAGTCGAGCATCGAGACGGGCTCTCGGTGGCGGCGCAGCGCGGAAAAAGTGAAAACGTAAGTAATCCGTGGTAAACAATGGTGAAAACGGGCGAGATGAGAGAAAGAGATAAAAGAGATAAAAGAAAGAGAATAGAAAGCATGATATATCGGGTCAATTGAAAACGTTCTGTTCGAGATTTAATGTCTTCCTTGGCGGTAAATCGGCCATTTTCTATGGTAAAAATATACGAATGCTATGAGAACGTTGGCGAGGAATCAAGTTCGGCGATCACTTAGCTGATGAATAATTTGTTTTCATTAAATGAGATAAAATCAATCTTGACTAAAAAAATCGAATCAAACTTTTTGACGTATATTTGCCAAAATCGTCACTTCGCATTCCCATTCAAGTGTTTCGCAGTCGTCGTCATGACACAGGTGAGAATCAACAGCGAGACGAGAGAGAGAGAGAGAGAATATCTAATAATTAACTCCCAATTTTTACGCGTAATT